TGGAGACACAGATTATAGCTTAGAATAGTGCATAGGCAACTCAGTTTTGTTTTAATTCCACATTTACTAAGTGGCAAGCGACATCTAGCCGAATTATAAAGCAAAGAGACCTTGGTAATATCATTTTATTACGGCTTTATACGGTCTCCTGAGAAAAATAGTTACTAATGCACGCACTCAACCACCGCGCTGTCTAAAAAGTTTGTAATTAACTGCCTCCCTTGAGCTCTGTCCCTGTCACGTTCGCCGACAACGGAAGCCTCAAATGCTCTTGTCATTTATTTTCGGATAAAAAATACTTCAAGATAAAACAAAACATAATTAATTACATTTTAGCGTCACATTATTATGAAACTCTTTTTAAAGAAGGTAATTTCTGTTAATTAATTTTCGGTCATGTAACAAATTGTTAAATATAATCATGTATTTTCAAGTATAACAGTAATAAAAAACTAACTAGTTAATAAAAAAAGTGATGCATATATTTAAAACACTGTTAGTAAATTTCAACCAGCAATCGAGTCAACGAAGATTTATTTACATTGCCCATTTTAACCCATAGTCGATGTAATAACTCTCAAGAAATTGCTTTTAGAACAAGTAAATTGAAACGCTTGTCTCAAAAAGTTATAAGATGAATTTCAATTTTCCTTTGTAAGTAACTGCCGAAATTCAATTATTATCGACATCAAAAACAAAGATGGCGCCTTACCTACGATGTCTACATATATTTGATCATTTCGTACAATAAATATAGTTTCTTTGATTAGGATACAAAGTAAATAACTCTGAATTTCCTTATACATGTATAAATAGACCTACGGCCGTAATTTAGCTCAAGTAATACGGCGGTGCCAAGTCGTACGTGTTCAGTTTTTTGTCTATTCACGGAACATAAATCATATCGGTTCCGTGTATCCATCATCTGCAATATATGCGGTGAGCCGATTGTCTTGAGAAATTTATCATCATAAATACTACTACGAAATAGGGAAATATTACTTACTAGCTTTCGCCCGCGACTCCGTCCATGTGGAAAAAAAACAAAAATGTCCTCTATATCTATACCAAATTTCATCGAGATCTGTGTAGCCGTTTAATCTACAAACTCTAACAAACATCCATCTATCCATCCATCTTAACTGTCGCATTTATAATATTAGTAAGATTGGTAAGAAGTAAGAAGTAAGATTGACGTTTTACTTATAGAGAAACAGTCTCTTCTTTAGTAGTTTGAACTACATTTCAATTTTCAATAGGTACATTGTATTTCAAAACCACACCTAAAAATGTACCGAAAGATAATTAAATAGATTATTAGTGTTACTGTAACAAAAGCTACGTTTAGCTAAATAAAGCCAATTAAGTGGAAATTATGCCATGTTCCATAATCCGAATTTCAAGTTATTGATGATAATTAACAACTCAACTGCAGACTTTGTTATGAGCTAGTTTAATCTAAGAGTTACTGTCAAAGCAAATTTCCAAAAACACAATAACTCCTTTTACTCTTCCTGGAAAAGAGAGTTAGAAATACGTTTGTGAAAATACTCGATAGTGAAACTAACAGTATACAGAAATATCAAAACAGGGCCTGCCGTTGTAATTTAATTACTGACGTCGCTACAAAATTCAGAACGGATAAATGATTGAATCGTTTTCATAGCGTAGCTGAATAATCAAAAATTCCGATGGTATTTCGCTCTTATTGCAAACAAAGGATTCTGTTTCGTCGGAGTAATTTTATTTTTTGCCAGTTATCGATCATATTCAAATAAGTCGTCTGTAAAATATTAATACATTACCAAACAATCGAAATTTAATCTGATAAAAGAAAACAAATATATTTTTTTTACTTTGCACAAGAATACTCTATTAGATCTAAAATTTCCTAGAAAAATATCTTGTATAAACATTTTGAGATCTAAATTGATTTTTCACTAAATTAAACCAATATTAAAACATGTTGCAATTTACGTTTCTATTTCTACTAAAGTCTACTTATTTATTGTCTTAGCTCTTAACGCAAGCATTACGTCCTTCTTATACCATCTTTGGTGTTGGGTAGGTGTACAAAGTACCGTAAGTATACAAACGCAAAGGCATGTCACTCGACCTCGCTTCCCTAATGCATTGTAACACTTAGTCGACGCGATTGGAGAAAGTCACCGCTTTCTGGGACTCGGGAACATAACTCAACACTTACACACAGATATACAAACACAGTCTTAACAACCAAACTCATTGCCTGAAGTTTTGTGATATTTGCCACAAGATGGCGTTACCAAAAATATTTGCAACACTTATTGTGCAAAAATGTAAAATAAAACTAGTTTGCTCTTAACAAATATCGTTAATGAGTCATTAGAATTCATTGCATTTTAATGAATCTGTGACCACAGATATTTCAAATATGTACATTAAAATGAAATAGCTTAAATATTCAAACTATATTATATATTGTTGTTTCAGAAAAACATAAACTTAACAATCAACATCCACTAATTTACATAGATGGCTCTGCTTACATTTGCTAACTTGCTTGATATATTGACGCACAAAGAAAGAACTCTAACATCATTGGCAATCGCTGTGAAAACAAAAATGCAAATAAATCTTATGTCAACATGGAAATGTTCGTAGAAAGTAAAATTTGTAATCGATCGAGGAATATGTAAATTCCCAACTTCTTATCAGGTGATATAATGCAAGATGATTTCGTGGAAACTGATTAAAGGCCCTTTAATTTTGAAACCAATTATGTTAAGGCTCTTAAATAAATCCGGAACAATTCATCCCAATGGTATTTCTCGGAATCTGTTAAGCATCTTAACAAGTACTTACAATTACTAAAACTAAATATTAAAATTGAAACAAAACAAACATTTACAAAAAGTAACTATCTTATGAAGTAAAATTGACGAATCTTGTATACTTACGTAGGTAACAAACTTCAAGGTCACTCATAACAAGAATCAAAGGGACGACATTATTCTAGTCTGCTGGGCACAAAACTTAAATTCGTTATAAATTGAGGCTTACTATAGAAAAATAGTAAAGAAAAAAGTGTTATAAATTTTGTAAGTAAAATTAAATTTGAAATTTCTAACAATTAAAAAGATATGTAGATTTTTAAACACTTTTAAATCAATCATTAATCTGCCCTTGTCCCATACGCAGGGTTGGCAAAGTATGTACTGCTCTTTCATATATTTCTATCATCCTTCTTATCTAAATTCACTCCCTTGTTACGGATATCCTCTTTCTACTACTCTTCTTGCGTTCTCTTTCTACTTCTACTTTAACCTCTCTTCTATTTCTACTTTTACCTTCTACCATTTTTCTCTATATTTGTAACTTTTTTATTTGTTAAATACTTAATAATTATGAATAGAAATACTCAAATAAACTCTAAAAACATATAAACTTTATTAACTATTTCCACACCTACAAACTGTTTAGTACCCGAATTGCGTTCACAAACTTTAAGAGAAGACGTTAGTGCAATATTTGTATTTTCTAGTTCCGCCTTAAATAAGTAAACACTGACGTGTTTGGTTGTGACGTCACGGTCGGAGAAAGTACGTGCTTCGGACAAATCGTAAGCACATACGAATCAATGTCGTACACTTAATTTCTCGCCAGTCACCAAGGTTACGTACCGGAGAAACTTATGACTGCATTTATAGCCTTTCATGATTATGATTCATTGATCATTGGTAGTAAACGTAGAGATTTAAACGTATAGAGTAGACGTAGTTGACACTTTAATTCAGACATTTTAACACGATCATCTCTAACGCTAGCTATTGATAACCTCAAAACCAAGTGTCAAGATAAATAATTGTATTTAAATTAATAAACAATAGGTGTCATTAAATAATATATTAAATGTTTAGATTTTATTTGTAACACTGTTTAGTTTACTCTGTAACAAAAGATGGAGCTTATTATAATTTAATAAAATGTTTTAATACTTGTCAATACGACACGAGGTGGCGTCATAAAACTTGACAACCGATGTAATAGCTTTCAGAGAAAGTATCGATGATTTTTTTTATTCACTATGCCTAGTCTATATACTTTTGAAAGTCTTTGGTAGTAATAAAAGTATTAACTTATAATCTTACTAATATTATAAATGCGAAAGTTTAGATAGCTGGATGTTTGTTAGGGTTTACCGCCGAAATGTGTGAATGGATCTCTATGAAATTTGTCATAAATGTAGAGCAAAGTCTGGAAGATCATAAACATAACTTTTGTTATTTTTATTAGTTTACGAGGACGAAGTCGGGGAAAAAATCTATTCTTTATTAGCATAACACTATTTTTTTAAACTTCCTAAATCTTAAAAATTAAAACACTGTTTTGTCATAAATCTCAGGAACATAATTTAACAAAAATATAACAAGTGTTTTGTCCTCCATCCTACTTAAGATTTACTTCACATTTTCTTTGGCTCTTTATGTTGCTCAAAAATGTCTGACAAAAAATGTTTGTCTGAGGAGTAATGGTCCCGTGCCGTTGCCTCAAGTGTTTGACTGTATTAAATATGTACGCAGCACGTCTGCATTACCTTCTGCAGCACATAACTGTAACCTCCGTATATAGGAAGCAGACCAGCGGTAAAAATCATACATTTATTTTATGTTAATTTCATATTTTCATGGAACTGAAAAATTTAATCCAACCTGACAAAACATGAAAATGTCAGATTCTAATATTTTTATGTTTATAGCGTACGTATTTATTTTAACCTGCGAATATTCTGATCCTAAATAAACAAGTATTTTATGCACATTTTTTAAGATCAAAATTATAAATATATTCAGCGTAAAAACCCACGTTAAACATAATACTAGTGAAGATATAAAAAGTCAGTACACTATTAAAAAAATAGTAAAGCTAATTATTACCCAGCTCACGGCGCACACATCGACAGGTTCAGATGTGTGAGTGCGCGCGTAGTCTCATTCTTACCTGCGCCCGCGCGTGTCGTCTCGAAGAAAGCCTCAGTGCTGATCTGGCGGCCGTCGCGACCGCACCGGCTGCCAACAATGCGGCAGACCTTGTGACTCTAGTGTGGTGAGTTGTGTTGCAGCACAGTGCTCGTGCGTTAACCCCAACCCCTGTAGTGCATAACCGGATTTTGGATTTCGTTTCGCCTCGCGGCGTTAATAAGGTGGGTGACACATTTTAAAACCATCCCGTAGAACTGTCACGGTACGTATGTATGTGTAACGTTTAGACGTATCGTCGAGCGCTCAATCGGGTGTTAATTTAAGGTAATGTGAAAGTTCCGACGATCGGTCGTCTATCGAGGAGTCGGTGACACACTTTTGGTTCAGGTGCGGTGTGGCCGCGCCCGCTCCGTTGCGTATCGACGAAAATTCCGAGGAACCGCTTTCGTACGCTTGGACAACTTTCTTCCGGCAACATTTTTTATGACGTTTACCGAATCGCGGCTCATCTGCAATTCTTTTGACGGCCGATAACGGACACGAATATTTTTCAAGTGACATTTAAGTGATAAAGCGCGCGGCCGCTACTCCGTACGGAAGACATCAACGCGCGCGTAGAAAGTCACTTGAAATCGTGTTACATTTTCAAAACTGAATAAATAGTGTAATTAAGTTTAATAAAATTTCGCGGTATATATAGAAAAAGACATTTTTTTCATTAAATAACGTACAATAGTTTAAATTTAATGCAGATTTTGACAACATTTAATTGACAACTAAGATTTAGTTAAATAAAAAAATCCATAAAAGTTCTATGAATCTAGGGTCGTAAATCAAGCAATAACATCATGAGATATTTGAAATGTTTTAAAGTTCATATCATACAGATACACAAACAATACCCGTTCTTATAAGCAAGGCAAACGAGGACAGACTCGAGTGCACCGTCTTGTGACGACGTCGAACCGGTTTAGAGTGCCTCCTTCCCTACCACGCCTCCCCGCGTCTCTCCTCACGCCCCTCAAACACCCTGCACCCTCGCACTACGCGTTATTATCTGAACTAGAACCTTACAACCCCTTACACTTTGCAAGGGTAGTTCTTTGACATAAATGACAAAGTAAAAGTAACAAGACTTATTACTGACTAAAGATCTTTGAACAACTTGTCGCCCGGGATGAAGCTTTTAATCTTGACTTACTAATGTTTTCACTCCCTTTAACGTTAGAAAACATGACATTTTACTAAGAATACCGCGATGCGCCAATTAGATAAAGAAACGAAGTTTATTGGCTATTAAAATGAACTTCTTTTATTGTTTATCAAGTGATTTAAGTGCTGTACCGAGGCAAAATATTTGCACTCTACACTCTACAAGTTCATATTGCTTTATTAATGCAAATATTACGAAAATAGTTATATCTATTTATAAAAATAATGGACCCTCTATATTTTTGTGATTCGTTAGATCATTTTAGTATTAAAAACAACAGGTTACAAAAAAAAAGAAATCATATCATCATTAAAATCTTTTTTATAATGACAATTGTTTTTTAATTATAGCGTGCTATTAGGTAACATTAATCAATAGATCAAGCTATCAGAGCGTTTGTAAATCGAAACTAGTTGCTAATTGTACATTGCGTAATTTGACCGCATAACTCTTAGCAAAGCTTTCGATGTTGCAAGGACATTAAGCTAAACTTAATGCTTGTTATAAAGGGTGGTGGACTTTAAAGAAATTTCGAATCATTTTACGATTTTACTTTTGAAAGTCAAAAACGGCTGTTATTATGACTGGTTTGGGTACCGATACTACAACTTCTAATTACGACATATTTTAGTTCAGGAATTATTGATATTAAAAATTTAGATAACACAGGTCGGATTATCAATAACGTCGAAATAACAGAGATAATATAAATTCTCTAACATTTACACTTGTTTAATTACATTTGTACGGAAAACTTTTTCCCAACCTGAATCTTTAATACTTATGCCACAAATGAAGTATAAATTTTAGCTTGTGACTTACGTAATACAAGGTACAGTTTCCCCAACAATGATGTATGTTAAAGGTCAATCCCCTTTGATAAAGCGGATCACTTTAAGATAAGAGAAAAAGGATGTCGCTGTAACGTTCCTCTAATTTATTATCGTACATCTACATTGCGGTTCAGAGAAATAAAGATATGGTTGTTTCAAGCCATACTAATGTACCATTCGTGTGATGTATTTTCAAAACATTTTAATTTCAATTAAAAATGTGATCAGAATTAATTACGCATATATCTCAAATTTCAAATATTTCCCGTTGTATATATTCCCGGTACGAGAAAACAATAATTAGCATATAAAATATCAATTTGAAAAAGCGGTGCTCGCAAAACTTCATATTCTTTATGAGCTGTTAAAATTTATTCTGGTTCTAATTTGCTTTCCCGCGCAATCCACAGTAAAAAAAAGTTAGGGAAAAACTCGGATTAGACGCTAATTCGGGAAACGGCGCCCGTAAATATGCTGCAGCAAAAATTAAATTAAAGGGGAAGCCGGAATCGAGCGGTAGTTCTGGCAACTGCAGAATGCTGGCGTCTGTAACAATTTAAATTCCGTCGCAATTCCAGATAGAAGTTAAATGAAATTAGGAACGTTTTAGGTTTGCACAAACACGAAATTGGCGTTTTACTTTCGCGTGTAACCGATGGTGCCGGATTTTGTTTGTTTACGTAATGGTATCGACAAGTGCGACAGAGCGGTTGAAGTTAGATGTTCAACATAATACCCGCCGTATGTGCCGCTTTCTATGAGGCAGACATTGTAGTGCGGTGACACAGAAAATTCCGCACATCACTAGTCTCTAAAATAAATTTCGATTAACACTTTACGTACAACAAATGGTACAGTAAAAATATTTTAAGGATTTATCGTTAATTCGAACAATTTAAATTTTTTTGAAGTTGTCGTTTGTTAACAAGGCAATTTTGTTTGTTTCTCCCGTTTTACGCAATACACAAAAATCTTTCTTTCGTATTAACTACAACAAGTTTTCCTATGTTCTGACTTACTTATACCACGTCCTATATAAGAGTTTTTATAGCTGGCCGGTTCGAATCGCAAGCAACGGTTGTCCGTTAGCGAGAAGGGGGTCAGGCGCGTCGCGTGCGCGCTTTCAACACGCCTTCTATTAGCTGCTATATGAAACAAATAGGCAAAATTTAACTATGCCTTTGTCCGCAATTTGCCAATTTCCTTTCAGACAAATTGTTCAATTATAAATGTAATTAATAACTGTAATTTTAACCAAAAAAAATAATAGTCATAGTGAAAAAAACATAAATGCAAAGAGGTAAAATAGTAAAATAGTTATTCAAAAAAATCTTATTCCGTCAATCTTACTAATACTTAAAACATTCTTATGGATCTACACTCAACACTATCTTTGGAACTCGACGCCCTTGATGGAAAGGAATGTGCTTGGACATTTTCTAACCCTTTTTCTTTTTAACCTTGCTTTATAACTGTCTCTAAGTAATTGATGACGTAATCCTACTAGCGTAAGTACTTTATAACATTAAAGCCGCTGATCACGGGTCCTGTGGCGCAATGGATAACGCGTCTGACTACGGATCAGAAGATTCCAGGTTCGAATCCTGGCAGGATCGCGATATTTTTTATTTGCAAAAAATACAGATTAACAAATTCAATACTATCATGTTTTTTTACGAAAGTAAACGTAAAAATAAGATGCCTGTAGATGTATTAATACAGAGAGTCTGCTTCGAAGATAAATATATAAACGACGAGAGCAAAGTTGTCCTTCCGGGCTATTTGAAGCACAAAGAGTACTAATGAATTCGATTATTCAGAGAGATTTCGCGCTTCCGTACTCTGTACGAACGATTCAGCGCAATATTCTAACAAAACGTTAACTTGCTGCTCGAGGAATAAGACATAAGTCTTTATTGCAAACACCTAAGACGTATTATCGAGTAAAAATCGATTCACTAAAGGTAAAAAGCTATCCAATACTGATCGCCAAAGCTTTTCGATCTATTTGACGTGGCGTTTATTTCATTAGTAAACGAATTTTTGTAATTCGTCTTTGGTTACTCGCTCGGAATTGCAAATTTTCACCTTTTGGGATTAATCTGAAATCTGATACAAATCTGGTTACAACAATTATTTTCATTGATATCCTTGTGATAATTACCACCATAACATATTTCAAGTTGTTTAGAAATTATATAATCCACAAAACATTGGTTCACACCTGAAATTGTTAACTTGATTTTAAAAAAGCTTATTTCACAGTATTTCATGCATAAATATGAACTCGGCCGTACACAATCCAGTTATATTTTTGTGCAAAAAGTTTCCCCAAACTATACTAACCTCTGTTAGCAAAGTCTGAACATTAATTGGTTGTGAAGCAAACACAGTTCTCTGTTTGGTTTCACGCGTTGCAAACCGCAACTCTCTGTTGTTAGTTGCCTTAAAAATAACCTAACTTTTGAAAGTTCCGGCGCAGTGCGGTAAAATATTATGTTAATTCCAGACTGTTATGCTTATTTACATACTTTGCTTAAATAGACCCTGAATAAAAAGCAAGAACTACCTAATTAATCTAAAGGAGATTTCTAAGAAATCAAAACTTTTTTTATATCATAACTAGCTATGGCTTGAGACTTCGCCCGCGTGAATTTGAAAAATATAGCCTACGTTACTTACTGATAAGGTTGCTTTTTAAGGGTGAAAGAATTTTTCAAATCGGCCCTGTAGTTTTTGAGTTATTTAAATAAATACCAAAATCCAAAAAGACAAATCTTTCCTCTTTATAATATTAGTATAGAAGTATAGATTATTTGTTTGTGCGTGGGACGTTTTGTATAATTCCTAAGTCTTGATTGAATACAAATACATAGTTATATAAACTCTTCCATCCGAATAAATATTGAATCTATTCACAATTAACCGCCTAAGAGGTGAGAAAGCGCAAAGAAGCGTAACATCTAAACTTGCGGTGCGTTCAGCCGCGAACTACTTTTCCAGTTTCAACGGAACGTCTCAACATTGACGCAACACAACCAAAGCCAACTGATCTCGATACCTACTCGCGCTCACTACATGGACTACATGCACTAACGACCGACAAGTTTTACTGCGTTTACCCGCAAACGTTATATTATAATGTAGAAAGTTGCTGTATCTTTATTAATTTTTA